AGGATGCCGGAGCATGGCTTTGCTACACTGAGGGCAAAAGTTAACTTAAGGCAACAGGAACACAGCATAGTGCAGCCAACTACCAATTAGGGATTTTCACTCAGCTATCTCTTTGTGCACTCTTAGTCCCCTCAGGAAATCTGTAAGGGAAGTAAATCTGACTCCTTAGCTGTAAATGACAGCATTAAGTAGGACACCAGGTTCACAGCTGTAGGAATGGATACCGAAGGGACCCTATAATACATCCTCCATTAAGAAGTAAAATAAAACATGCGTTGCAAAAACAGGTAAGAGCCTATTAAAGCAGGGAATCGCCTGCAGTGATGACTTGCAATCACTTGTGAAAGTAAGACTCAGAAGAGCTGGACAACGAGAGCTATGACTCCAAGCAATCCCCTGTCTGCTGCACGACAGTACACCACACAGAAAGTGCAAACATCTGCAGACAGACCTTTACCGTCTTGACTTGTAGAAGGTCGTGTCTGTTGCATGAACACAGACATTTTAACAGGATGTTCCTCTATCTAGCCAACTGAAAATCAAAGTGCTAGCTGTGAAACTAGAAAGTCCCAAGAAAGTGCTTCATTGAGTGGGAAATAAACACTGCTGTTAGTTACAGCCTCTGCAAACAAACATTTAAACTACACAACTTCAGGCATTTGGGAGCCCTGATTCGCCTTCCTAGATTTCTGCCAATGCCAATGGAGAGACAAAGTATGCCGTAAACTGCAAATTTCAGCCTCCATTAACCATATCAGAAGCCTGGGTAAATTACCCTGCATAAACATACTAAGCAGACAAAATTTCACCGCAGCCTGTAGCGGAGCATCACCGAAAGCGTGCTCACAGGACATCCTGCCTTCTCACTTCTTCCTTTTTTTCAAACATATCAAACAACCGGGTTTCAATGCAGCCTAGCCACACAATGGGAGTTTTAACATTCTGCCATTTGTAACTCATAATAAAAAGCCACAAAACCCAGACACGACTACTGTATTTCGTACCGCTTAAGACATCACGGGGCATTTTTTAAAAAAACACAAAAACCAGGACTCCTGCTAAGTTAGCAGCCCGCAAAGCTTTTCACCCTT